CTCACACAACTTCAAAGACAGAAATGGTTTTCAATAACACAAGTCTAATAATTGGGACTTTAAAATGTCCTCATATATTTTATATGAGTCAGAAGTTGACTCATCAAAGAGAACTTCTTTACATTTTATACAACAGATTATTTAGTTGAAAATCACAACTGTTTACCAACAAATAGCTTTTGATTTGTTTCATTACAAAATTTTGTAAGGTGGCTTTTGCTGAATGTGTAAAAGTATATAACAATTCTTTACATATTTAAATGTAAAGTTAGTATTGTTTAAGGAAGTCTAACAGTTTGAAGTAAAAGCAAGTAAGTTTCAGAAACCTCAGACTTTTCCTAAGAGTATGTGTGTGTATGTAAGAGAGAGAGGAGAGAGATAGGGAGAGAGAGATAAAGTAGGAATGAGATGAAAGAAAATGAGCCTAAGCCAGGTGCCAGTGGCTCACACTTGTAATTCTAGTTACTTGGGAGGCTGAGATAGGGAGAATTGCAGTTCAAGGCCTGCCAAGGCAAACAGTTCACAAGACTCCATCTCCAAAATAACCATACCAAAATGGACTGGAGGTGTGGCTCAAATAGTAGAGCACCTGCTTTGCATGTATGAAGTCCTATGTTTAAACCCCAGTTCCATCAGGAAAAAAAAAGAGCCTATAACTATAGAATTTCTCTTTTGAAAAATGAACTTTTAAGGCAACTTCTATGGCAATGTACTCAAAATCTTATTATAGGGAGTTTCATATGATAAGCCACACTAAAAATTATTTTTTTTCTCTTCTTAAATGTCTTCTCTTTCTAGCCTAAATATACACAAGAAACTAATAAGGTAGAACTATAAAAATCTTACTGAGAAAAGAGCTGGTTTTGTTTGTTTTAAAATAGTAAAATTCAAAGTATATATATATGAGTGATAAAATTTTCTAAACTATGCAATTTTTTTTTTTAAACTCATAGTTTCACATTTGCCAGGCAGGTGCTCTACCACCTGAGCCATAACCCTAGACCTTTCTCACTTTAGTTATTTTTTAGATAAGGTCTTGCATTTTTGCCCAGGGTCAGGTTCAGACTTCGATTTTCCTACCTATGCCCCTCATGTCGCTGGGATCACAGGCCCATACCACTACACCCTCCTTATTGGTTGAGATAGGGTCCTGCTAACTTTGTGCTCAGGTTGAACTCATTTCATGATCTTCCTGATCTTTACCTCCTGAGTAGCTAAGGATTACAGGTGTGTACTATAACATATGGCTGCAAACTATGTCTTAGTGATGATACTAAGCACCAGCAAATTCATAATCAATCCAGAGATAAGAAAGGGTTTAAGTTATATATCCTTATTTACTACATATTTTACAAATAAAACTTAGGGCGTTTCATCATGGAACACTTAAAAAAAGTCTTACTACTTTTAGCAGCAACCAGGCCTGATTTACTCATTTGTAATTAGCTTATTGAACAAAATGATATTGCAAAATTAGATTGTGTACCTTTGAAGCTAGTAAAAAAACGGAGGGAATAGAGAAAAAATTGAGCATTTATCTTGCATGTTTCAACTGTACTTCAATATGATGGTGGGAGTTATATTTTTAATAGAAAATTCCAATTAACAATACACGAAGAGGAGTGAGAGCATGCCACATTGTGCAACTCCTATTGAAACAATGGAGCTGACAGTGAGTATCACAGCTCCTAAAACTATTTAGAGGGCATTACAAGGGATGAACTGTGCTCAGGAAAACTGAAGCTAGTAATCAATTTTAACATTATGATAGAGAACTGAAATTGCATGTCTTCTTTAAGCACTGGAACATACACACCATTCCCCAAAAAGTCTGACTCTGGTCAAGACTCCAAATTTATTGGCTGTAATAAAGAAAAAGGAGGGACGGTCAGAGTAACATGCTGACACTACAGGGGACACAATTTAAAAAAAAATAAAAATGGATCCAGAATGAGACATTCTACAACACAGGTATTTTTTCTTTGCCTTTATGAATCCTGGGGTATTTTGAATACTGACTGGATACTTAATGATATAAAAATTATTAATTTTTGTTTCAAAATAATCTTCTGATGGTAAATAAATAAAATGCCTTTATCATTAGAGTAGGAACTACTCTGGAGTTAGTAGGTATAGGTAAGAACTTTCTCAACGAAACCCCAGCAGCACAGCAACTAAGAGATAGCATAGATAAATGGGACTTCATAAAACTAAACAGCTTCTGTTCATCAAAAGAAATGGTCTCTAAACTGAAGAGAACACCCACAGAGTGGGAGAAAATATTTGCCAGCTACACATCAGACAAAGGACTGATAACCAGAATATACAGGGAACTTAAAAAACTAAATTCTCCCCAAATTAATGAACCAATAAAGAAATGGGCAAGTGAACTAAACAGAACTTTCTCAAAAGAAGAAATTCAAATGGCCAAAAAAACACAAGAAAAAAATGCTCACCATCTCTAGCAATAAAGGAAATGCAAATTAAAAGCACACTAAGATTCCACCTCACCCCTGTTAAAATAGCCATCATTAGCAACACCACGAAAAACAGGTGTTGGCGAGGATGTGGGGAAAATGGAACCCTCTTACACTGTTGGTGGGAATGTAAACTAGTACAACCACTCTGGGAAAAAAATTGGAGGCTACTTAAAAAGCTAAACATTGATCTACCATTTGATCCAGCAAAACCACTCTTGGGGATATACACAAAAGACTGTGACACAGGTTACTCCAGAAGCACCTGCACACCCATGTTTATTGTGGCACTATTCACAATAGCCAAGTTATGGAAACAGCCAAGATGCCCCACCATTGACGAATGGATTAAGAAAATGTGGTATCTATACACAATGGAATTCTATGCAGCCATGAAGAAGAACGAAAAGTTATCATTCGCTGGTAAACGGATGGAATTGGAGAACATCATTCTGAGTGAGGTTAGCCTGGCCCAAAAGACCAAAAATCCTATGTTCTCCCTCATATGCGGACATTAGATCAAGGGCAAACACAACAAGGGGACTGGACTTTGAGCACATGATAAAAGCTAGAGCACACAAGGGAGGGGTGAGGATAGGTAAGACACCTAAAATATTAGCTAGCATTTGTTGCCCTTAACGCAGAGAAACTAAAGCAGATACCTTAAAAGCAACTGAGGCCAATAAGAAAAGGGGACCAGGAACTAGAGAAAAGGTTAGATCAAAAAGAATTAACCTAGAAGGTAACACACATGCACAGGAAATTAATGTGAGTCAACTCCCCGCATAGCTATCCTTATCTCAACTAGCAAAAACACTTGTTCCTTCTTATTAGTGCTTATATTCTCTCTTCAACAAAATTAGAGATAAGGGCAAAATAGTTTCTGCTGGGTATTGAGGGGGTGGGGGGAAGAGGGAGGGGGCGGAGTGGGTATTAAGGGAGGGGGTGGGGGCAGGGGGGAGAAATGACCCAAGCCTTGTATGCACATATGAATAATAAAACAATAAAAAATTTTTTTAAATGCCTTTATCATTAAGAGATGCAGATTCAAGAGTTTACAAATGAAATTATAAATTTGGGATATTCTTTAAAATTATTTGGGGTGGATACGGGTACAGATGGAACAAGATTGGCCACATACAGTATTTACAATTCTTGAAGCTAGGTGATGATGATCAAGTGTGCACATATTACTCTTCTAATTTTCTATGTTTAAAATTTTTCATAATAAAACGTTTTATATACTTGTTTTTTTTTCCCCTTGGTATATAGCTAATTTTTCCTTCTGCCTCAGCCTCCTGAGTGCTGAGATGACACATAAGCACCACCATACCTGGTTTTAAGCTAAATATTTTTCTTCTAATTAAAATTATAGCATTTACTAATCAAAAACTTTTATATGGAAAAGGAAAGAAACATTAGGCAACCTGTTAAAATGACTATGAACTTATAAAAACTGGAGAACTCAAATCTGAGGATATAAACAAGCAATAAAAATGATAAACATGTGTTTGTTACACTCAATATTTTTCCATGCTTTGAATCAATATTTTATTACATTATACATTATGTTATAATATTACAAACTTTTAACAATTTAATCCTAACATTCAGCTACAAAGCAAATGAATACTTAGTAAAGAGTAAATAAGAATCGTCAAGTGGGATTTTATCAAGTTAAATAGATTCTGTACATCAAAGGAAAGAATAGAAAGGGAAGCCTACAGAATAGGAGAAAATCTCTGCAAATTATTCATATGACAAGGAATTAATATTCAGAGCATACAAGCTTCAGAAAGTTAAACACCAAAAGAATAAGTAACCCAATTAATAAATAGGCAAATGAATTCAATAGTTTTCAAAAGGAGAAATACAAATGGCCAATGAACACATGAAGAAACATTCAACATCTTTAGCCATAAAGGAATGCAAATTAAAACAACACAGATTCTACCTCACCCCAGTCAGAATGGCTATCATCAAGAAAACAAACAATAAATGTTAGAGAGGATGAGAGAGGGAGGAACCATTATACACTGTTAATGGGAATGTAAATTGGTGCAGGCAGTATGGCAATCAGTAGGGATGCTCCTCAAAAAACTGAAAACAGAACTACCATCTGATCCTGCTATAACATTCCTGGGCATATACCTAAGGGAATGAAGACAGCATACAATAGAGATAAATGCAAATCCAGGTGTTTATTGCAGCACAGTTCACAATAGCCACTTTATGAATCAGCTTAGATGTCCATCACCTGATGAACAAATAAAGAAAATGGGGTATATATACATAATGGAGTATTTAGCCATAAAGAAGAATGATGTATGCCATTTGCAGAAAAATGGAATTAATGGGAGATCAACATGTTAAATGAAGTAAGTCAGACTCCTAATACAAATAACACGTTTTCTCTCATATGTGGAATCTAGACCCATAAATGCAAATAAGAAAACACAAATAAAAATACATGAGCCTAAATGGTAAACTATTTCGGGGGGAAGGAACCATGGTGGAGGAAAGAGAAAGGAACAAGGGAGTGTGGTGGTGACGATTAAGATCAAAGCATATAATACACATGTATGGAAACCCATGACTTTGCACAGTAAATTTTTAAAAACTCATAAAATTAATTTTTAAGCAAATCAAAGCAAATATTGAACATCTGTGTGCAACTCACCTGCTGTAAAATCTTCAGTCAGATCAATAAACGCATGAGAATGCGGAATTCGCATTTTACTTTGACTGGTCAAAGCAGGATGCCATGATAAATTTCTAAAATATTAAAAAACAACTTTCTTAGGGCAAATATTAAAGGAGTATTGTTCTAAAATATAAAAATCTCCACCTACTAAACATTTTAAGGTTTGCTTTTAAGATATATTTTAGCTACCATAAAATTTAGTTTTATTTTACACAATTCAGTAATTTTCATACATTCAGAGTATGTAATTACTATCACTCTCAAACTCCAAAACATTTTCATCACCTCAAAAAGAAACTCATCCTCATTGGTCACTCCTTCTAGCCCTTGGCAACCACTATTTTGCTTTCTATCTCTACACATTTTTCTATTGAAGATGCTTCACAGAAAACATGTGGCATTTTAAACTGTGGAGAATGATAATTCTTTTAAGTAAATATTAATTCCAAAGTGTTGGACCATGTCAGAAGAATAGATTCAGACTCTTATTTTACAACATATGCAAAATATTAACTCAAAGTTGATCAGAAAGCTAAAACATTAAAACTCCTAGAAGTAAACACTGGGGTACATATAATGACCTTGGCTTTGGCAACAGATTCTTAGATATCACCCCCCCTCCACACACAAATATACACCACTCAAAGAACAAAAGAAAAAAGTAGATAAAGTGGCTCAATAAAAATTGAAAACCTTTATGCACGAAAGGATTCTATTAAGAAAATGAAAAGACCATGGGAGAATATCACATCTCTATTAATAGGGACTAGTGTTCAGAATTTTTTATAACTGAAGGATAAAAAGATATAATTTCAAAAGGATGGAAAAACATTTCTTCAAAGATTTACAACTGTCTTTTATTCTCATCAAAAGTTGCTAAAGAACATTAGTTATGAGGGAAATGCAAGTAAAATAACAATGAGAAACCGCTTCACAAGCACCAGAATGGCAATTATCAACATGAGAAAAATAAGAAGTTAGCAACTCGGATGTGAAGAAACAGGTTCACCAATTATTGATAGTATGAACACAAAATGGTGTAGCTGCTGCTGAAAAATTTTTAAAAACTAAGCATTGAGTTACGATATGACCCTGCATGTCTACACTGAGCTATATATCCAAAAAAGGTGAAAACAGGTATTCAAACAAATACTGTACAAGAATGCTCTTTAGTAGTGCCATTCACAATACCCCAAAGGTGAGAATCTGTTTATCACACACTGGGCTTAATTACACTTTAACCTAAACAACATAGTAAAAAACAAACTAATATTCACACAAACTTCTTTTATTATTTTAATTCAAACCCCATAAAATCACAGTAATTACAAAATATTAAAATAAATTGCATTTAGCATTTGTTATAAAGTAATTTGTGCCAAACAACTTGTTTGATTATTCTTCTTTTAATACCACACAGTGTTAGAAATCTTCAAAATAATTCCAAGTCCAGTTTAATAGTGGCTGATTCACCTCATTTTAAGGGAGGTCATTTATTTATTCCTTCATTCTATAATTTTCTAATCATTAAAGCATTTTTTAGTCAGGCACTGGTGGCTCACAGCTGTAATCTTAGTTACTTGGGAAGTTGAGATATAGAAGATCATGGTTCAACACCAGCCTAGGCAAACAGCTTGTGAAACCCCAATCTCCAAAATAATCACAGCAAAATGGTCTGGAGGTAGGCTCAGTGGTAGGACACCTACATCCCAGGCTTGAAGTCCTGAGTTTAAACTCCAGTCCACCTCACACACAAAAAAATATATAGAAACAAACATTTTTAATTACTAACAAACAATCAGACTGAATTTTCTGACAGGTTGAATCCAGAGTTCTTTTTAAAGACTTCCTCAATAAATTTGCATTATTAAGTCACTCCTCAATGAATTAAAAACACAATGTTTTATGGAGGTGAGCTCAATGAGGTTGGTCATTTAGCTCTGCTTTTAATTACCATAAGTAATTATTGATCTCATTCCTTATAAAATTTTAGTAGGTTTACTTGGAAATAAGTTATAGTTAGAAAGTTAGAAAGCCTCAACTAACTTGTGACATTTTGTCCTAGGATCTACTTAACCAAATTTGTATTTCAAGGGAAGAATTACTATTACTAGAACAGTGATACGCAAGTCAGAAAATGAGACTATGGTTCAAATTTAGCATAAAGATGTGCTTTATTGAACCCATGTATTCCTTTAAAAATCTTAATTTGAGTGTTAAAACTTTAAAATTTTTCATCAGATATGACAGAAAAATCTTGATTTCTAGCTTCTCTTGAAATGTGAAAAGGTCTGGCAAGCAAATGCCCTTGTCAGAGAGACCTAGTGCCAATCTTCCAAAACTGCTTCACTTTGTTTCCTTCTTGGTCCCTTTTGATATTTGAACTTTTAACTCCCAGCAAAATATTATTCGCATTTTTTAACTTCTTCAACATTCCAAATCAATGTTAAGTTTTTTTATAGTATTTGAAGTTTTCCTGTTGCCTTACATCACATAAAAGGCAGTTGCTGACCCTTAGTTTATTTTATATACAATGTCTATTTGCCATTCTGATGCTTTGCAAAGGTGGGGGCAGAAGGGAAGTGCTCTTCACTCAGTACTGCCTTTTAACAGGGCGGGAAACTGAAAATATATACAATTGTCTATTGGAATTAAATTTCTTAAAATTTATAGTTGAAAATAAAATTCCTTTCTTCAGTCTTTGAAGTTGCTTTTTGTCCACATCAAAGGTTTTCTGTTTTTTTAGTAATAAGAAATAGACACCATATTTTTCAGGCAAGTAAACTCATAAACTGTAATCTTCTCATATTATCTGCTCAACTCTTCTTTAAGGCTAAGGTTACAAATACAAACTGCTCTGATTATTACAAAAGAAACAGCAGAGATGAAGGAAATGGGCAGTTCTAGGCCATAGTGAGTCTATTCATTAACATTTCTTGACCTTTCTAGAAAACTTCAATTATGAGCTTCCCCCCAACACACACACAGACACAGAAAACATAGTTATGTCAAGATGCTCTAATTTGTGGCCACCATCACCCTTAATTACAAATAATAACATTTATCACAGGATGAATTTAAACGTAATTAATGTCAATGGTAGCTTTTGGTTGTCTATGGTAACTGCTCTTTGAAATAACAGCTAATCCTCGCTTTTCAATGATCACCTTGTAGTGAATTAGATATTCAGGAAAACATAGTTACTTGGAGATGGGCTTGGCTTCAGGAGAATCTACTTCTAGACTAGTGGTCTTCAAACATTTTTGCTCAGATATACTCAAAAGTTATTTTGAAAAACTATGTACTGTTGGGTCTGGGGGATCAGAATACAAAAATGAGCCAGCGCCTCCATCCCCCATAAAAGCACTGTGAGCCCTAAATTCTATAAAGGGACATGAGGTTTCACAAGTCGTGGCCCCCTTGGGGATGCCTCAAAACTGCCACAAGGCCTATAAACAGGAGGCTTTCACAGGACTGTGTGTATGATCCTGTAGAGATATGTCAAAAGACCACTCCACCCCCTGACTCCTGACTCCCCTCCCCAACAAGAAGGACCAAATAAAAAACCCCTATATATAAACAACAGAGAGCTACTGATTTTCTGCACCCCCTGTGCATCTCTAGGGGCAGCTTTTCCTTTCTCTCTAATAAATCCCACTTTGTATGCTGACCTTGTCTCAAGAGTCAATCTGCTGCCTCACAAGCCAATTCTTTGGCCCCTGGAGGCAAGAGCTCTCAACACTGGCCCGCAACAGTACCTCCTAACACATTTAACTCCATTTCCAAGAAAATAAGCTAAAAGTTTTTGTCATCTTAAGTAGCTGCAAAATAGGTAATCTTCGAATTTAAAAGACTTACTGAACTTTTAAAATAAAATGATTACTTTAAAAAATGTATCTAGTAGTATATAAACAAAACATTGAATCATTCTCCATCACCATTCACAAAAAACTCAAGACAAACACCCAAAAATGTACGAACAAGGTCTTCTTTACTATTCAGAAATTATACACTTTTACTTTTTAATATTTGAATTTGTTCTGGCACTCATTTTTTCTTAGAGAACTGTATTACAATGTAAAACTTTTTATATCTGAAGTCTTCTTAGTGATGACTCTAGCATAATTCTTCAAAGAAAAATATGCCTATGAAGTAGTCTAGAAGTTAAAGTTACTATTGAAATTAATTTTGTTTATGGATTTGTCTTTAATAAAAATCTGAGGTTGAATTATTTTAATAACCAGTGGATAATAGATTAAAACACATACAGTTTGATAGCTTATTAAAACAGGTAAAATTTTATAGGAAGTACAATGAGTGGAGCTTCATAATATGTTACTTTATTTATTCTTTAAATAATGTCTTATTGCTAGAATGAGACAGAATTCACCATAAAGTCGATTTTATATATTTTCATGAATATAAATGTTAAGAAATGTTCTTTATATAATTAAGTAGTTTGGTATAGAAAGGGTATTTATTAGAGAAATAACTCAACTCTTTGAATTCACCTGTAGTCATGTAAAAAATCAGTTATCACCAAAAGTGATTCCTAGTGCTCTATCAAATAAATTCTCCTTTAAACTATTGAAAGCAAGTAACTGTAAAGTCTCTGACCTGCAAAAAAGTGTATATTGCATTCATTAGAGCCATTTACTTTCTCAATTTCTAAGACGGATACCAAAGGCATTCCTACGATTAACTATATCATTTACTTTTCATTTAACCACATATACTAAGAAAAAGTTTGGGGAATCATTTTATTACATTTTTGCCAACATTACATAGTTCAGTAAACTGTTTCTATTTTTATCATATGCTTTAAATATTTTTATCATATGCTTTAAATATATTTTCATTCTCCCTGAAAATTTAGTATTAAGAAATTAGCTTTAATTTTTTAGGTGTGAAAATGGATTGTGATTATGAATTTTAAAAAATAGCTTTGCCCTTTACAGATATATAAAAATATTTATAGATTTAAAGTCTGAGGAGGAGGTATAAACAGAGAAATGGCTGGAAAAGGTGTGGATAAAACAATAACTGGCAATGAATTGGTAACTGTTAAAAC